ATATGGCTTTAAATGATTTCCCTGCTGCCTGGGTTTTTTACCGTGCGCTGCTGTTAGCCCAGCCACACGGTTGCCTGGTCATCCCTACCTCGTCTTTTCAGTTTATTTCCACCTCCTTCCCCCCCCTCCCCAGCCCCTGGCAGCTTGTCGTTTCCTTCTCTTACAAATACGTACAAAACACTCACTGGAGCAGCTCGGTTTTGCTCATGTGCCATTTTCTCACACACAGGTTTGCCGGCACTTGCAGCCACACACACACACACACACATTCATCACGGCACCTTCACGCACAGGCTGCCTGGCTGCATCCCCATCCCTCTCCCCACACGCTGCCCAGCTGGTCGCTGCCCAAACAACATCTGCTTATCAGGAGGTTTTATCCCGACGCCGTGGTTAGTGGGGAAGCTCTTGTGTTTACTTGCAACTCTGTCTGTCAAAGATATTTGTGCTTAAAAAAAAAAAAAAGCAACCAAAACCCCCGAAATAATCTCTAGTTCTGTTTGGTTTTTTCTCTCCGATGTATACCACCCCCTTTGGTGCTAAAAATAAAAGAGCTCCACACAGATAAACCCGTGCTTTGGGGGCTGCCCCATTTTACCAGATCCTGCCTAAGCTTGGATTTGAGTTGTTCAGCACACGAGGTATCACTGGCGGTGTAAAAAAAGCCCTCAGAAATGCTTATGCATCATCATAAGTGATGTGCTGGGAGACACCCGCAGTCCGTCAGCGCAGCCGGCTGCTGTCGGAGTCCCCTCCATCCCCTTATCACTCCAGCGGTGCACATATACCACCCCCTTTGGTGCTAAAAATAAAAGACCTCCACACAGGTAAACCCACGCTTTGGGGGCTGCCCCATTTTACCAGATCCTGCCTAAGCTTGGATTTGAGTTGTTCAGCACACGAGGTATCACTGGCGGTGTAAAAAAAGCCCTCAGAAATGCTTATGCATCATCATAAGTGATGTGCTGGGAGACACCCGCAGTCCGTCAGCGCAGCCGGCTGCTGTCGGAGTCCCCTCCATCCCCTTATCACTCCAGCGGTGCACATAAACACATTAGCTGCTGATTCCAGGCAGAAAATCCAAACTGCTTTTGCCGGCATCATTGCCCTCTTTTATTTATTTATTTTTTTTTTACTGTGTATTGCTCTCTCACTAATTTTGCATTTTGAGGTGCTTTTGTATGCCTAGTCACCCGCTTCAAGTATCTGGGAGATCATTACTTGCTTCTGATTAGCACAGTGCATTTGAGTGGCGTGCTGGAGGCAAAAATTTAAAACGTATCAAAATGCAAATATGCCCCCATTGACCTCTGGAAAAATGTGTTCCATTACAAAGTACTTTCAAAGAAAGCCAGAAAGGAAGAGGAGAGAGAGTATGAGTTTGCAGAGGTTTGTGATATTAAAAAAATAAATTAATTGCCAATGGTTACTTAGAAGTTTGCATTCTGTGCAATGCAGAAAGCTTTTTTTTTTTTTCCTTTGAAGAGGGAGTGGAGGGACCAGATGATGATACTGCTGCCCACTTTGTGTCTCACTCCACTCACTTTCCTAGAGGAACCACTGAAGTGAATGGGGCTGCTTGTGGTGCATTTTTTTTTTTTTTCAATGGGCCAAGATTCAAATATGTAGTCTAATGCATGGCAATGGCCCAGGACGAGAGACACAGAAATTATTCATGATCCTTCCTTCGGTGTGAAAGACTCCTTCTATAACCTCAGCTTAATGACTCTGCATTTAAGAAGTAAATGAGTTTCACCAAGAAGAGCGAGAGGCGGCCAAATTTGCCTGGAGAAAACAAGGGTGGTATTAAGACAAGTGACATCCCTGCAGTGAGGTATGTCTGGAACTGCATCGGGGAAAAGATGCAATGTTACCCGAGTTATTTGAGCTGGTTGCTCTTTTACCCCCCCACTAATAGTGACTATACTCTTTCACTGGAGAAGACCAGATGTTGAGTTAGAGAAGACTAGATGTTAGGTTACACTAGCAAAAAAAATGGTCCCCCACCCCAGAACGGAAGCGTCTGTCCTGGCCTTATCCTTATTCTCCACAATGCTTTTTTGCAAATACTTGTTTGCCTGGAGACATGGCTTCAGTTTAGTTTCCCAACACCGAGCCAGAAGTGGTGGTGTCCTCTCAAAGCAAGTCAAATGCTTCACAGTAACCTAGCCCGTGAAAGTTTAGCATTAGCTCAGTGTTCAAATTAGCACTGCTGCTGTAATGAGGGGAGTCGTTACGGCATCCTTTGAGCAGTCCCCTTGCTGCATTACGCATCGCTGGTGATCAGTGTCTGGGGATGGAAGGAAAACCACCCAGAGGAGCACGGCTGCTTCTGACCGCACTCAGTAGCACAGATTTTCATTCTTCAGGCCTTATGAGTATCTAATGTGATAAACACACCAGACCAGCAAAAGGAAAGGAAACAGCCATAGCTGTGACGATTACTCACATACAAAAATCATGCAGAAGAAGCAGCATATGAACCCCCCAGTCTCTCAATGGTTGTTGTGCCATTGCTTAGCTAGTTTCTCTGTCTCTGGCTATTACTTCATTGCACTGGGTCATAAACGAAAGCTATCTAATGCTAATGACCATGGTGCCCACCCTAATCATGCATTTGAAATATTAATAAAAATAATTTATGTCATGTGACTGCTTTTTAACTAGCTGCTTTCAGGACTTTAGATCAGGATTATAAAAGACGTGCATTTATAAATTATTAGCCTTGAGCACATAAGCACCGCATACTATGGGGAGCACTTTTGTAGCACTTTAAATTAATTTATTGTTATTCATTCCAGCTGTCTGTGATGTAAACCTTTGGCTATAAATTTGTACCATCATCCAACACACCATTAAACTAAAGTGGTGCCCGTGCTGGAGCATATAATAAAACATATGAATAAGATTTCTGTGGGGACACTTTTTCTAAACTCTCTTCTCAGTTAATGACACAAGAAAAGTGAGATAACACAGTCACCCTGTAACTATGCATTCATTAAGGTATGTCGAGGGGGGGGGACTTTTAAATTTGCACTTCTATTGAATTCTGACTTAATGTTTTTCTTTACCAGATTGTTTCAGTTCATATCCTATCTCAAGCAAAAGGCTTCGTCTGACGCCATCGTGAAGTCAGATGCTAAGACTGCCAGGGGCTTGTTGTTGGACCTCAACTTTTCAGCAGAGGAATCACAGCAGTACAAGAGCGGAGCAGTTTCAGTGTCTTATCTCCTCTGCAGGCAAACATTCTTTCTCCTACAGATCACCATTAGAGTAACAAAACCTTATCTGCATGACTAACGCCATAACATCTTAATCCACTTAACGGTATAGATATATTTCCTACCAGCCCAGTGGGATCCAGTTTCCTAAACTCGTGTTGTGATCATGCAGTGCTCTACCCAGCGGAGTTAGAATCACCCGTCGCTTTGCTCTTGCCATATAGGTCTTGTCTTGCTCACTTCAATGTTAACACTTTCTGTCACTTTTGTGACAGATTACTTTTATCAAGCTTGTTTGAAGGCAGTCCTGTCCATCTCAGTCTTGTACTGATATCAGTAAGAGTTTGGCTGGTAATTTCTCAGATTTAGGCTCCCGGTATCAAATATAGCTATATGAAAACAGACACAAAAATCTGAATGTCAGATTCTTGGCTGTCATAATATGGTAACTCCTTTAATTTGTACCAGCTGCTCATATACCCCATGCTTTTCAGGTGTAAAGCTTTCTGAGTTATTCACCCCATAGCAGGGCTTTTGGAAAATTGACTGAGAGCAGAAAATACTCATAAAGAGCACATTTTTTAGTATAACTAATCTCATTACTACAAAGACTAGTTTGATGGAATAGGTTTTTTTTCCTTTATTTCTAAATCTATCTGAAATTTCAAGGTTTGGGAATCTTGGATTTGGGATCATCTCTAAACAATGAAGGAGCAGGATGTCTGAATTACTCGGGAATATGTGTACACCAGTAACTGCCCTTTATATGCAAAATTTAACGTTTGACAACAGGAAGACTATATATATAGCAAGATACTACTTTGCCAGGGAATTTATTTTGATACAAACATCTATCTATCAAATTCAGTAGTCCAAATTTATTGAGACACATTTAATTGGAACTTCGAAAAGGAGCCTGTAGCACACTCCAGAACGGAATTCTGCTCTGTGGTTGAACCACACCAGTGCTCTTACAAAAGGATCGGTACTTCTTAGATGAAATGTACCATAGCATAAATAATATATGGACAATCTTTTTGAATCTGATTTGTGTGCTACAGCAAGGTGCTCATGTGGAGACCTGCACAAGAGTGAAAGATAGCAGTGAGACAGAGTACACAGAAATAACCTGAGCTTGATTTACACTTTTGGGAAAAGTTGGTGAGAGATCAGATTTACTTATTCATGGTGTCCCTGCCTCTCCAAACAAAACATAAAGCACTACCAGTTTGCACTTTTAGATCACTTCCAAGGAGGAGAAAACACAAGATAACTAGCAAACGAGGAATTAATAATAGTTTAAACTTCCCTGGCACAAGAGATTAGGACAAGAGATACAAACCAGGTGCCTGAAATCCAAAAAGGATGCTGATTCCTGGGTTAGAGAGCAGACTTTAGCTGGTCTTTTAGCTGTGAGTCTGAAGACTGGATGGTTACAGCACTCAGGTTTGTTTTGGCCTCTCCTTTCCTGCAAAGATACTTTATTCATATGGAGTTTCCTTTGAATGAAGATGTGCCCTGCCCCTTCCAACTGTAGGGGTAGTCTTCATCAGACGTTCTCTCTGAGGGTATATGCAGGCCAGCTTCTGTTTTTCACTAAGCTGGAGCCATTTTGCTAAGATAAAATATTATTTACTTGTTTAAAATTTTCTTTCAGTTGACTTAACACAAAAGAGGAAAACTTGGTTGTGTGAAAAAAAAAGGTATACAGAGCTTTCCTTTTTATTAATTGGTTTATCACTGTCACTTGATGTGTTTTATGTTATTTAAGAAGAGCTCCCTTTCTTGTAACACACAGCTTATAATTACTATGTAACTTAGATGGTCTCAAAAGAAGGAATTGTGTTGTGTTTAAGTTGCTAACATGATTGTATTAATCTCCCAGCTGCTAATTAATCTTTTCAGTTATCTGTGCCTCCCTTTCCTTACTGATTATGTAGCAAGAAGGTGCCTTTTTTTTCCTTCTTGCTTAAACTGTAATCTTTTCGGATTTGGCTGTATCGACTTCATTGTAGTTTGCTTGAGTCCTCTAAAGGCACCTCACGGAGAAGAAGAGATGCTTCTCTTTGGTTTCCATGCACCCACTGACATTGGAGATACCTGCTTTAAGTGCTTTTTCATCTCCCCGTGTTTGGTAGGACCAAGCTCCTTACCAGGAGTCTAGCGGCTCCAGCCAGGCATGAGGACCTCTGTGTCTGCCAAGCAGTCAAGAAGCCTCTTTTACCTAAAGGGGCCAACTCACGTATGACAAAAGGTAATGGATAGATGCCAAGAATTGAAGGCAACAGAAAGGTATAGTGGCGGTGCCTCCGCAGTTTGATTAAAGTAGTCTCCAGAGTAGCTGGTACCCGAGTGGTACATCCTATCTTTCATTCACACAGCTGCTCTCGGACAGCTGTGGAAGATGGTTTGAGGAGGGCTGGTAGCCTGTTTGTGTCCAAGCTGTGCTCGTGGACACGGGGCCTTGTGTACCCGGGAGGGTGTCTGCCTCTATCCGAGTCGTTAAAGTGATTGCCATGCCTGCCACATCGCCGCCTCGCAGACATATGCTAGCATTTGTGGTACTGTCAAAATATGCTTTAAAGCCCATTTCAGCAGCAAGCTTGCTTAGATTCCTTGCCAGGAAATGTTAATTACTGTGGTGCAGTCTTCTGTTTTCTGTGCCGCAATAACAATTAATTTACACCATTTGGAAAAACACTTACACTTTTTTATTAAAAATCAATAAAAGCAAATCAATACATTGTAAAGTATACAATATCAAAATGAAAAGCTCTTGTTTTTATACTTGAGCATCCCTAATAAAATTTCGTTGCTGATTCAAGCAGCTTGTCTATTCTAATCTAATGAGAAGCTGTTAAGTTTCTTTTCAGCATTTTGGAAATGACTAAAAATGGCTGCCCCGATACATGGCAAAAGAATGCAATAATTAACTCCCAAGTTGTAAGTCAATACGATGATGCAAATGCTGCTGCATTCATCTCTCTCCATCGTATCACCTATGCACCTGACAGTCCGTGGAATTCATTTTGAATCAGGATGGAGGTTAACTTTTATTTATAGCTGTAATTAGAAAAACACTAGCACTAATGGAGACTGCTCCATTGCTAGAACGTGTCACCACAGAGTAAATTCCACAGCAATTTTTGCATTTTAACAGGTCAAAGAGTAAAACAAATGAATTGCTTCTTCCTGGGACAACCTGTTTATTCTTCAGAATCTGATGATTTACTGGAACATTGATTCCAAAGATTCTCGGAGAAAAACCCCACAGATGTTTTTTCTGCCACTGTGCCGCGTGCTGCAGAGCCTGGGGAGACAGCTCATGCCACCAATCTTGTGGTCCCTAGACTCCTCTGCAGCAAGGTCAGGGCAAAACCAAGGTTCTCAGGTGGCTTAGATCCCAGTTCCTGCCCCCGGTGCCACTGAGGGGACAGAAACTCTGAGATTTGTCCAGCCATGATGCAGCCCAGCAGCTCCACCAGGAAAACGCTCCCTCAGCCCCCAGTGGGATGTCCCCACACACTGTAGTGAGGAACACTTTTCCAGCACAAGCTCCTGTTTCATCCCCATGACCCACTGCGGTGGCCTGCACGCTTCTGAGTGCATCCACAGTGATTATAGCTGATTTTTAGGAGTTAAACAGAACAGAAAGAAACGGGGTAACTTTAATTCTGTGGATGGGCAGATCACCATTTCCTTTCTACAGACAGAACTACCGTGAGTTTGAGTTTGATGTGGGTTTTTTAACAATGAATTGATAGATGGTTCTTTTGAATGTGTGAAATGATCCAGATATGACAGTAAGTTTTTCAAAGCCATTAGACAAGTGTGGTAGCTCATGGCAGTGGGCTGGGAGGACAAGTGTCACTGAGATAAAAATGCATTAACTAGACTAATTTAAAAGGAATGGAGAACTCATACAAAACCACCAGAAACTCCTCCTGCTTTGCTACCATAGAACTGGGAATCCAGACATGACACATGGGGGGGGAAAGAAAAACTTTGAAATAAAATGAAAGTTATGCAAATAGGGGTATTTGATTTGAGTCATCTTTAGGAATTTCAGGGTATGGCAATGTGTCACTGAGACACCACACACAATAATGTACGTGTGTCTGTATGTGTCACCTGTGCATATACCAGTGTTCCCCACTGGGATGTAACCATTGCTTTATTATCGTGATGGGTGAGTCTGAGGGTTCTCTCTACCACAGAAATTTACATTAGTTCATCCTGTTTTCTGTGTGCAGTGTTTTATTTAAGGTTTGCTCTCCACGTGGTAAAACGTAACTGCTCCTGACTGACTTTCTGATGCCCGAGCCACCTAAGTTATGACAAAGGTAGGATGATTATTTACATCTATAAGGTTTTCAGACTCTTGAAATATGGGTCTTAAGCATATTATTAACTTCAAGCATATTACTAAGTCCCACCGAGGTAAAAAGGATGTGCTTTAGGGCACATATGGCTATCAGCTAAGAAAAAACTGAGAAACTTGTTTCTTTCACAGGGGTAATTGATTACTTGTGGAATAACCTCTCTCAGAAACTATCACTTGATCTGTATTTGAAGTGTATAGGAGTGAGCTTTATGTTAGTAATCTCCTCCTACTGCAGAATTGATGAGTTTCAATAACACCGTAGTAGTTTCAAATGGAAACAGATGTTCTGTTGGACATCCTACAACAGAAAATCAATAGGAGGTGAACCATACGTAGACTTTGCCTCAGACAGGGTTCCACCGTGACAACTGTGCAGGAGTGAACTTGCCATTGGGTTGGACTAGCAGAAGTGACACAAAGACCAGAAAGTTTTCATGGCAGGTTTGTCAAATTCCCACTATTAGGCTTACCTGAGGTGAATTAGATGCTTCATATGATGATTTTTGATTACCCTCCAGGGGAACTGTGTATTGCTTTCCATCTGGAGCTTTCAGTTGTTAGCATGGATTTGTACTGCATATTTGCATGGATGTATCAGGTAGAAATATAGGGGGAATAGCTCTGAAAACACACAACATAAGATGGTACCTGCACCAAAGAGCTTACAATTTATCACAACCTGACAGAAAACGGCTAAGGCAGGGGTGAAGCAGTATTTTTGCTTTTATTCAGAAGTTTATGTAGAACGAGGAGTAGAAATTGAGTTTTCCAACAGTCATAAACACATGAGCACCTTCAAGGATCCTTTGGAACGGAAGATGCTTTAGAGGCTTTAAGTATTTCGCTGGTCCTCCCATTCAGGCAACATAGTATAGCACCATGCAAATGTGCAAGTGGGATTTTCCAAGGATACTTCTTTATTTCTTTTAACGGATGTCATAGCACAGAGAGAAATACTAGACGCAAGCGAGCCCTATGGTTTTGATTGTGGTTAGTCTGACGGTTCTGGTTTGCTTTAAGTGGAAGCTGATGAACAATGGTTTAAAAGGAGAAAAGGCAAACGGCCCCAGCACTGAGGTCAGCCAGCCACTTCCTACACCCAGCTGTTTCAGTTTATTTTTTTAATTAAGTTTGGCTTAAATTAATGATGACAGTTTAAAGAGAACTCTTTCACCTATTTAGCTTACTTTACATCTGAAACCAAGTCCCTTCTGTCCAATTGCATTTTGTTACAAGATTTGCAGTTAGGTTCCCTAAAGTCCCTGATTTCTCCCCACTTTATTTTGTCATCTCTCCGCTCTGCTATTGCCCTCTGCCCTTTCGTGCGCTTTCAAGGGAGGGCTAAAGCTATTGCTGCTGCGGTATGGAAACAAAGTGCCTCCTAATTGATCGTTAATACTGCTGGAGTGTGAGGATGTTGGGAATTGCTAGATCAAGCCCATTTATTCCGGCTTCTGGGTCAGCTCTTCAGCTGGTATAAATCAGCGCTCCTTCCTGCCTCTCACAGCTCAGTGTAGGTTTGTGCCGTGGAGGAGCTGCTTCAGTGGTTCCAGGCTGCAGCTCTGCACAAGCACCAGGTCCTGCAAGGCTTTTGTCTAGCAAGCCAAAGCATACTCTCTGCTTCAGAACAGCAGTAGTTTATTTCCAGAAGCCTGAGAATTAACAGCTCTAGAAGTAACTGCTATGGTTGCCTGCAATTTAGGTGATGGGGGGAGAGAAATAGACCTCTTATTTTTTCAGAAAGAATGCAGCTTAAAACAAGAAGTTTTCCGATCTTATGAGGTGCCACAGATTCACAGGCACGTGTATGGTCCCAATGGCCTTTCTAAGCCAGTTTTTTTCAACAGTTTTTTTCTACAAAATTCACATTTGCTGGAGAGAAGGGAATTATCATCTGCTCTTGGGGTTTTGCTTCGCTAACATGGACGTTACTGAAGTCCCTCATAACTATGCATTTAAGGCTTCTCTCCAGGCTTGACTACTTTACTGATTAGAGCGATTTTTTTCTTTGATGGGGAGACATCACCTTAGTATTTAAGTTAAGAGCTGATGACTCATAACCAAAATAAGAAATGAAGTGCCACTCCTCGTACCTCTCCCCATTTGCTAGGAAAGCAATAAGAATTGCATCATCACTCATTGCAGATATAAACATGATCGCTATGGGTGCAGTCCTCTGTAAACAGTAAAACCTTAAAGATTTTTTAAATTAAAAATAATCCCACGGCCTGAGCAGTACTAAGTTTGGCGAGTCATACAAGACTAACCAGGGAACAGTCCTTAACTGCAGTCTTGAGAGGGCTGTGAAAAACAAAGAGACTCGTGGTTTGGTCTTTCACGAGTTCTGCACTTAGATTGTGTCTCAGGCACTTCACCCTTCCCAGTAAAAGCAACAGAGATAGTGCTGCACTTACTAATAAGATAATGACAAATCAGTCCTACACCTGATCTGAATCCCTGCAGGAAATCGGCATGAGCTGAGAAGAACAACAGAGGATGCTCTCCTGGGTGAGTCTTTCACTTTTTTGCAATACAGTTCCTAAGTCACAACTCGGTAATGGTTACGAATGTTTTATGATGCCTAATTAGAAGAATGTTGTACATTTTTGCCATCACATATTCTTACTGAAATGAGTACATGGCAGGTATGAGATCAAATGCAGTTTGCAGATATCAGGTGAAATCTCCTGTAGAAGCTTTTAGGCCAAATGCAGCTAAGATAATAAATAGCTGTATAAGTGTCATGTAAAACTGTCAGAAATTGAGATGAATGGCGAAGGGGCACAACTTGCTGCAATTTGGTACTTTATATGTGTACGGGTCAGGGTATAAAAACAAAAGCAGTTGAAAAAAGGTCCCTATCTCTGTCAATTCTCCTTCTAAAGTACCTAAGAAATCTAGTTTCTTTTAGATGTCTTTTCCCTGCTTCATTATGAAGATACTGAGTTTTAAACAAAAATAGAAACATTTGAAGAATGTAATCACATGTTGTTTTCTTCCAAGCAAATCTGCAGAACCTACTTCAATGAACTTTGCACAAATTCACAATTAACTTTGACTGACATTGAACTGGGCTTTTTCAAATGTTTGTCTGTGATGAAAGTTTCTTCTTCACATGAAAAAATTCTCCAGCTGTATTTCTGGTCTTTGTCTAAGGTGTTAACAACCAGACACCAGCACCTTGTTTTCAATTTTGCCTCTGTTGGAGACACTACTTAAATTTAGGCTTTTCTTTTACTGGCAGTAGCTACAATGGTCTAGGCTTTAATCACCAGCAGCTGTAGAAATGAGAATAGGATTGCAAAAGCAAACATACCCTTGAAGATCAGTTGAATTCACATCTGCATGTGCACTTTTTTCCTAGTATTACACTCCAATTTAGTAAGGTTTTGTATACCTTGGGAACTCGTTCTTGGCTCTTTTCCCACCTCTGAGTTAAAAATCATGATTAAAATACTTATTGTGCAAGGAATGGTGATGTGAGCTGGGAAGAGTATCTTTTGCCTGGCTTATTTCAAAGTTAAATTATACTGAATTTAGCTTATTGTTTTGCAGAGCCATAAACCTCCACAAAACTCCTCCTGAAATCAGCCAGGCTGGTTGCACCAGCCAAGGCAAGCAGACGTAGAAGTCAAGCAAAAATCCAACTCAGTCTGATATTTAATATCCAGTTTTTCACGCTGTAGCTAGGTGGTGAGACACAGGAGGGGGACTTGCAGGGTCTGGACTACTGAAAGAGCTGCTGCTTCCTGGTGGCCATCCCAGCCCCCCTGGCAGGAGAAGAGGTAGTTGCTCTGCTTTTGGGCCATCACAGTTCACAGCACTCTGTATTAACTCCAGCAGCCATTGATTTCAATTTATGTTAACATGCTGGGCTGTGAGCTGCAGCAGGAGGGGTCTCTGGTTCATGACTCCTGTCAGGTTCAGAAGAGCTGAGGTTATCACCTCAGCAGTAACCTCTTTAGCCACCAAAGTTGAATCCAATTCAGTCATGAATCAGTGCCCTTAATTAATTCTCCCTTATAAAAGCCCAAAGCAATCATACTGATGTCAATGAAAAAAGTCCCAGATGAGAGTTTGATTGCTTCCTCAATATAAATAAAAAAAAAAAAGTTAAAAAGCTAAAATCCAAATGGGTCCTTGGGGGAACTTATTGGGTCATTAATATACCACATGCATATTTCAAAAAAACTTGTGTGTTAACAATTTAACCCTGACAGCTTTGCAGGATGACAATAATTCCTACTCCAAAAGAATGACTTACCTTCTTAGTATTTTTTAAACCAAATTACATTACTTGAACGGTAAGAATATATTTTTTGTGAGAAAAACTATACCTTAGTCAATTTCAACTACACACCCATATTTTAATGTATAGAGATTTTCCTTCTTTCTAAATAAAAAAACACCTCACAAGTTGTCCATAAATAGCTCATAAACATCATGGCTACCTACCAACTCTCTCCAGTTCACACCTAAAAAAAAAAAAAAATCTGCCTCGATCATTTTCTGTAGATCTATGTATAGAACAATCTTTCTTAGTATCTGAGTAGAACTTTCCGCTCTTCTCATAGTCTTATTTATGCTTGATCCTGCGTATTTCGGAGCTGTGAAGAGATATGCAAGCTATAAAGGACTGTATAAAGTTTTGATCAAGACTAAATTCTGAAGACTACTGTGGTTAGGATAACATTGTTTTACTGGTCAATGCAGAGGTTGGAAAGGAGCAGTGCTGCTACAGAAAAAAAATCTTTTTGTTTCCGTCCTTGGATGTCCTTGCATCCTCCTGGCCTCATTAGAATATATCTGGAAACACTATTTGAATGTGCAGGGTCTGAATGCAGGAAAGGGCTTACAGAGACCTGGGTTGGAAGAATTGAGCACAACGAGCAGGAAAATGCTCTCACCCTCCATTGCAAGTGACCACACCAGACAGGGAAGCCAGGACCACAGGTCAACTGGGTTGCATTGGATTGTATCCTCGACGTTCTGGGCTTCAGTCTTCTGGAGTGAGTTGGCTATGTCAAAATACATAGTTGTGGCCTCACCAAGCTGCCCAGTAGCAGCATCAGTGACTTCAGCATGTGTACATAAAAGAGACATTTTGGTTCAAAGTGCCCACAATGATGAGAAGCTGCACTGATGACCACCACCATGGTACAAATACAGCTTGCTCCCATGGAGGTGTGTTGTACGGCATGAGATGTGGAGGCACAAACCCCTCTGAGGTACTGTTTGCTCACCTTCAGGTTAGGAAACAAACTTTGATATAATCCAACTTCTTCCATGTCTGGTGTGGCACCTGGGAGTGAAGCATGTTGTCCTCTCTGTACGGGCTTCATCTCCACAAAGGAGTGCAGTAGGAAACAGCATGTCACAGCAGGATTGACTCAAGAAACAGGGTCTAGGAACAAAACAGAGAGGCAAGCAAGTGCATGGCGTAGGTGCACTCTCATTCAGATGGAGCAGCTTCACTGTGGTGGGTTTTCTCCCATGAATACCTACAGGATGCCTGGCACTTAGCAAGCAAGTGATGGTTAAACAAGTCAACTGCTGTTTGCAATCTATGATTTGTGGCTTCTTTTTTTTCTTTTTTTTAATAACTGAGCTTCACCACAGTACCTGGGAATATTTGTCCTGGTAACGATTAGGGAATAAAACCTCTGGCAGTAGGATTCTGCAGGAGGATGGTGAGGGCAATCGGGTTCTCATGGGTTTCATGTAGCATAGCTGGCTGTTTGAGTGAAAGCAAAATAATTCTTCAAGTTCAAATTAGGGCAGATTTAATCTTCTTTGGAAGCAACAGCAAAAAATAAGCTGGTGTGTTTTTAAAGCAGAGGAGCACCGGCTGGCCAGCCCTGCTGAACCCTGGCCATGGCCGTGCCCTGCAGAAGGGGTTTTGGCCCAGGAAATCTCCGGGAGCAGAGCTGTGCACGGTCCTGGTCATCAGAGCCCCCGCCGAGCCGTAGCTGACAGGTTGTGGCAAAGGAGGCTAACACAAAAAAGGCTTAACAATGTTTAATCTGGGAAGGAAAAAAAAATCTCCTGTCAAACAACCTCAGCCTGGTCCATCCCTAGTACAAGCGTGGGCCTCAGCAGCAGGCCTGTCCCACCGAGGCAGGGAGAGCACTGTGCCACCACCGTTCCATGGTGGATTTTTACCATTTATAGAACTAAAGAAAACTGAAATATTTTTGGTTATCAGCTCTGCATGAGACAGGGCTGCCCCCAGCCTTGATCAGACCCTGCCCAGTTGCCAGCTCTGGTCTGGGGCCGGCAGTCACAGAATCACAAAAGAGGGGGGTGCAGGCTGCGTAGGGCCTGGATTAAACGTTTCCCCAGATAAACCTTTCTCATGAGAAGAGCAGAGAAACCCATCTGCAAACTGAGATCTGCTCAGCTCCAGCTACAAGACAAACCCTAATGCAGGCCGGGCAGTAAGACCCAGACAGGTTGCCGATTTTGTTGTTTTTTTTTTTTAATGGGTTAAAATGGAGCCAGTTGCAGCAAACAACATTGTAGATTTATTCAGCTGCAGAAGAGCTGGCACACAGCAGGTGCCTTGGAGGGACAGGGGGAAGGAGCAGAGGAAAAATGAAAAAGGCTGATGAGAGCGAGCAGCCAGGGAGAAACCTCTGGAAGGTTCGGGCATGCAGGCGGCTGCACTCATGCTTTATGTCACTGCAGAACATTAAATGAGCACTTAAAAAGGTAATTAGCACCTTTTCATTGGACCAGAAATCAAAGGTGTAATTTAGCAGAAGTCAGTGAACAATGTAAGGGATCTAATTTAATCCCCTTGCGTAGCTTAGCCAGGGTGAGAAATCAGAAGCCCAGCTCGGCTGAACGGCTGCACTAACAGCAAAGCCATTTTTGTTCCCCCGACAGGACAGTGCCACTGTCACCAGGACTGTACGTGGTGCAGGCAGTGAAGCGATACAGCCTATTTGTGCTATTTCAATTCTACTGCATCATTTTCCTTGTTCCACAGTAAAAGCAGAGGGTCGGTGGTATGCAGCAAAAGATGCTCTTGTCTAGAAAAGGTGGCAATTTCTGGCCAAGGTTTGGCATCGTGGTTCAGGTGTTCTCTTCCAAAGCCCCTGCACAGGCTGATAGGATCAGATCACTCCAAAATTCAGGAAGATGGGGAGGAAACGGGTGCTTTGTTTTACCCCATTGTACGTGAAAGAAGTTCTTTCAGTATTCAGATTTCACTTTAGCTGTTGGACTCTCCAGTCCTGCCTTAAGGATTTAGAACGGGTGACTCAGCTTGCTTCTGGTTTTGGTATCAAATGAAGTGTTCAAAAGATCAATAAAAGAAAAAAAACACTATTAAAGTTTAAGTGCCATATAAAGAAACTAGGCTTTAACTCAGTTATTTTTCAAGCCATAGCTACAGCACAAGGCATATTACCTTTATTGGGATTTCTTAAATAAAAATGTGAACTGTACGTGAGCACAATTGTAAAATCAAGCTGTTAGCTGACTAACAAAGCTGCAGTACAGCA